TGTTTGGCAGTTAGAAATCCTTTTACGTTCTTTCATGCAAATTTTCTCAAAAATCAAAGTTGTGATTATAAATGTGGTACAGCTACATTTACTTATGCGGAAATTAAACAATGTCCACATTTTTTTAAGTGAGGGAAAAAAAATTACAATCATTTTGCAATATTCGCACAAGGCGTTAAGCTGTTATCTCAACAGCGCCGCCGCTCTTTGATGGTTTTTCACTGCCACCTAGTCGTAAAAAACACATTTCTTATTACTTGAAATAAAAGCATTTTAATAGCCTTATCATGAATAGCTAGACTAGTATAGTCAGTATAACCAACTTATTCTAATAAAAAGAACCAACATGAAGTTTTTATTTGTTACAGTTTTCAATCCGCATAGCATGCAAACATGCCATTCTTGAATTGAGTGATCATTGTTGACACACCACAGCACACAACGAAATCTGTCCTCTTCAATTACAGTTGCGTTTCCCTAACCATTAAGCCACCACTACCCACCTCGCAATACTCACTGGTGCAGTTACATCCATTTCTTGGATATATGTCCTTGTTTACTATGTATAAATTCATAAAAGATTCAAAACAACTGAATTACAACACGCACAAAAACACCACCAGAGACTTTTCCCCAGACTTCATAACTTCTTATTGTTAACATAACTAGACGTTATAAAAAAATTGTTAAAAAATAAAAATCCAACAAACTCATAGACAGTCTGCATGTAAGTAATCAAAACCTTTCATTAAAACACATAAAAGGGATTTCCCCACAGGGAAAACCTTCTGGACAAACACTAAAAAGCAAAAACTCTGTTAACAAACAAACTCTCCCACAACCAATCGAGTGCAAGACGAGTAACATTTCAATAAGGCTGGGTAAGTGTTGTCAAGTAAGGGCGTAATTCATGCAAATATGGAGAACAGATTTTACACGCGCTTACGCCGGATATTGCAAAGGATCTCTTTAATGTTATTGGTCAGAAACAACTTTAGCTTAGGAAACGGTGTGGTGTCAAGACAAATCCCGTCAGTGAGAAGAATAAAGATAAAAGAGAATGAAGAAATTTCTTAGAAAAAAAGCAGATGTAATAATCTATCTCACCTCCATTGTCGAGAGTCCCACCCATGCTGTGTATGGAAAGTGTTCATATTCTACTCACGTCAACGTGGCTTTTTTCTGTAACTGATTTCGGTTACGTTTCATTTAAAGTGAACGAGAAATGCAACTTCATAGAGCACGTTCTAGTTTTCTCAATATAAGAACAATCGAGGTGATCGCTTAGTTCAATCGAATTACTTATATCCGTTGAAGAAAGTTACCATTTTATGAATGCCACAAGATAGCTTATAGAAGTTTTTCGACACAAGGGAGACGTGGTTATAATAAAACAATGAAATTTGTGTTACATATTGTTTGGTAATCAGACCGAGTATGTGTTATGACAAGGGGGTGTGCTCTATGCAAATGACAAAGTCGGGTGTTAATATAAATGTGCATAAGTAATTACCACTGATATTAAGTATAATCAAGCCTAAAGTTACCATGCCTATCATTTTTGATCTAATATAGATTAATATAAATGTTAATAATGTAAAAGAAGACATATGGATTATAATGTTATCATGCTTTGCAATTAATACGAATTATAATTTCAATGTTCAACAGATTGTTTCAGCAATAGATTCAATAGCATTGATGCATTGCCCGTAGTTTCGCCACAATTCATCATGTAGTCTGGATAAAACCGAGTTGCTACGGACTAACAGTGACATCTAGTGGATAAACTCGGAATGTTACTTTGTATGTTTTGTATTTCGATCGCTCAAAAAGTACGCGGAAATTTTGATTGCAAATCACACACGTAGTACAGTAAAAGGAATACGCGCATACTTACGGATAGGAAATTGACAGCACTAACATCGAACAAACAAAATACAACAATATGGTTTATAAACTACAGAAAACACAACACATACCCCAAATAGTTAAAAATAATATCTTTCTTTTCACCATTCAAAGGGGCTTTCCTAATAAGGAAAACCTACTAGACAAATACTAAAAGAGCAAAATCTCCATTGATCAGGAATGGTCGTCACAACCGACCCGGTGCAAGGCGCCTGATATTTCCATTAGGCTGGGTACGTTTTGTCAGCTAGGGGGTGTGTCATATGCAAATATTGTGCACCAACGACCAATAATATGCCGTCATTGCCAAAACCTTTCCAAATGACTATCCTTTCTCTAAGCATGTCGTGTACGCTGCCCAAATTTGCAAGTCTTTTCAGTATTACAGTGACCCGAAAGAATTTGATTGTAAGAAACAGTGAGCTGCTAAAAGAGATCCAGAAAGTGAGAAAATCCATGGAAAGAGAGAAGGAAAAATTGTCCTAGTTAATAAAGCAGATACAGTGGATAGTTATCAGTGAAGACAATGAGACGGAAACTCCCAGCATTATGAATCACATTTATATTTTTTAGTCAAGACTAGTCATAGACTATCTTGTCACCACCTTCAGCATGCAGCAATACAAGGAAATTCAGGGCTCTTAAGTTTCACCAAAAGTTTGGAGCGAGATTACATCTGTTAGGGGCGGAGCGTGTGCCTCATGGTCGATGCGTGAGACTTGAGAGCCCTGGATATTTAACAATGCGCGTACTTAACCGTTCTTGTGTTCACGCTACCCATTAGAACCTGCCTTTCTAATTTTTTTCTCTCCATCTCTTCCCACATCACAGGAGGTCATCCAGTGTCCCCACACTGAAGTCTCTCTCCATCACAGCTGTGAAACACACCGTGAAGTGTAGAAATCAACCCTGTGACTCAGCTGTGAAATCAACCCTGCTTTTCAAGCCTTTGTTCAAATGGGATTCTAAGCACACACATCATTTGCACTTTTAAAGATGTTTTCGGAGAATTCCAATCATTGGTTTGAGGAGTGTAGTAGCAGAGCAGTTCCATCCAGTAGCAGATGTAGGGTAGGAAGCGGTAAAAAACTGCACCTACAGAGTGACACGTTCCTGGATATTGGCAAGTGAACATGGGAACCACGATGGCAATGAACATAAACAGCATGAGAGGAGCTGTTGCACTGATAAAGTCAGTTCTAGATAGTTCAGTGCGTTGAAATCAGAAATTCTGCCAAATCGTGGCCGTTCTCTCGGCCATTTTTAAACACTAAGAGCAACATGCAACCTCTAGTGGGAGTGAGAGCCAGCAGTGTTACCAACGGAGTCACCACGTGGATTGCTACAGGATTAAATACTCTGCAACCGGGGTGAAATACCATCAGGTTTAAATTTACTATACACATCCTTTCTGCTTTCCGATAAGTGTATGCCAAATGATGTTGAAGTATATTCTGATAAACCCGGCAAAATAATTTTAAAATTTTATTGCTGATGTGTTCCACCAATTTTTAAACAATGAACAACTCAACTGATTTGTTAATACTTTATACCAGCCTATATAACACCGGACCACTTGCATATAAGAGGTTTACATCTGCCACCTATTGGACGAATTCGGAACATCCGCTTCGATCCAACAGCCAAAGAGTAACAAAGTATAACATATAATGATTCAACAATTACATATTTTAAAACAAATCTTAAACTAGAAGTTAAAAACATTTCACTTGGGTGATTATATGCTTGCACAATAGGCCTACCAACGAATGGCGATTTCACTTCAGATATCCGAGGATTGCGGTAACTGTGTACAGTCGTCTTTCACATGCAAAGACAAGTAAAGAGCTTTCTCGAGTGAAACATGCGTAAAACATTAGACATAATAACAACATATATTCGTCGAGGGTCTTTTTTATTTGGAGGAAATCTTCTTGGTAAATACTCAGCTTGCATTCTGACGTTTTTAATTTGCATTTTTAATATCAGCCTTTCGGACACGAAAAATAACGGAACGTGGCTGTTGTATCAAACTGTTGTTAAACTAACCTAGTGTACGTAATTGAAATCCTGTTTAGAATATCAGTTAAGCGTATTCACTATTACAAAATCTTACATGCTATATCTATAAAACTGGTACCATTTATAGTTTTACTGATTTTAATTTAAAAAGGCGCACTAAAACCTTACTTCCGAAATGACGTAATGGAGTGGCTGTTATATTTGCATAAATGTCCCGTCATGCACCGCGCCTTCAAATATATTATTTACTATTTAAGCTTATCAAGGATAAATTGTAGTAAAATTACTTAAACTGTAAGAAAAACGTAAATATGACTTTTATTTTATCAGGGATTCCCAAAAGTCAGTAAGTTAAATAAATTACCGTGGAGCGGCGGGGTAAGCCCAGACTCCGCACTCCTGCCTTCCCGAAGCCCTCGTCAGCTTTGCGCAGTGGCAGTATCGTAGCCTATGAGGTTTATCCGAGGCGCGATTATTGCTAGTTGAAAACTTTACCCAATACCCCGCCTTGACGACTTGAAATATAGTCGGCGTAGGCAATTTTTGACGGTCTCTACGGAGGCTTGTAATCGGTTAAAAAATAGCAAAAAAACGCTCTTGATACATTTTCAATTCATACTGCACTTAACACACGGATAATCTTATTCGTCGTAGTTGTGTGAACGGGTTAGGATTTGCCGGGTAAACGTTATTGTCGAGCAAATTACCGATGCTTTTGTAACAAAAAACATTATTTTACCATGTTAGTTCATCTTTGATCTCTGTACAGGAAATGCTATTGTGTTTTTCCTTACATCTCTCATACTGCTCATGTTTCTCTGTAAATGGCTGTTTCTTAGAGGACACTTAGCGCTTTAAGATGACGTTACATGTTTGTAGACGTGACCTTGCCAACCACTTCTTCCTGTCGAATCAAAATTTTTATATCAATATGATTTTTTTGCTCCGCTGGATCTGAAGAGGTTATAGGATTATTTTCGTGATAATTTCGGGTTTGGCTATGTGCCTCAGATTCCAACTCAAAACCTGTACATTTGAACCTTTAAAGTCCAACATAAAAAAAACAGTAGTTTTGAAAATCTTTATTCAGTAACATTTCTTTATAAATTCATAAATTTTAAAATCTATCCCCCCACCCCCATACAGTACAAAACATATTCTCAGCTCTTATGGACATTAAATCTTGTATACAATCACTTCCATGATCAGCTCCTATTGAAGAAATAGTGCTGAAGAGATTCAGGTTTGCACTAGATAAGAACATTGAAGGCCACAGGCATACAGACAAAGAGCTGATATGCGTGCAAAGTCACACCGAAAGCTCTGCAATTCCTGACATATGAGAGCAAGTCAGCTCAGATGTGATATGACATTAATGAATTAGCATTAATATCATTAACATTAACATGGATATCACCATTGATAACAGACAGACACATATCAGTGATAAGGAACCAAAGTGCTGTTCAGTCATCACTTGGCACGGCAGCTGTTTCCAGAGGCTCAGAATTTGTAGCACAGCGCCCCCCTCTGGCTGTGAGAAAGAACGGACCCTCACACCCTGAATCATGCAGCAAGGCTGTCTACTGCCCGTCTCTCACTGCTGCATCATGAATGGCCAGTGTGTGGGATTAGTAAGGCGCACAGTCCCTCAAAAGACATAAATCTTGTCCCTCTGTACAGCATCCAAATCATCATCCAAAGTAAGGAGAACCTGGGACAAAAGGAACAGGAATAGAACTGGGTCAGAAGAAATTGAAATCGTCACATTTTTGTAAGATGTGTATATTTTCATGAGAAAGGGGAACCACATTACAAGGGAAGTGTGTGGCTTTGCGGGTTAGGCCTCTGTGGTTGTGATTGGAAGGTTGTAGGTTCAAATCCCATGGCTGGTAAAGTGGTTACACTTTTGTACCTTTGAGCAAGACCTTTAACCTCAAATGTTCTATAAACTAACTGACCCTGGTTGCTCACCAATATGTCGCGTTGGAGAAAAAGTACCTGCTAAATAAATTTAATTCCACTCTACTGAAGAAAGCAGTTTGTTGAATGTTGTAATTCTTGGTATGTGCAGCAACTGGTATTCAACGTAAATCATGGAGTCCACACATACAGAAGTCTTCATCTTTTCAGTAATGTATATCTGCATTTGGTCTACCCCATCAATTTCCATACCCGGGAGCACTTGTGTTATCCCTCCCAGTCAGACTTCCCAGAACTGTGCATGTGTGGACACACGCGACTCACCAGGAAGGAGCCAAACATGGCGATAGAAGACAGGAAGTGCCAGATGTCATGGTCATCGAAGAAGGAGAGGAGGATACAGTCGCGGTTGTGCTCACGAGACTCAGCTGGGGTTTTCTGAAGACGACAGAGAATAACTGAACTGAAACGTTCTTGAATAGACTTCTATCTGCTTCTTGGGTACTGTGCTATTGTGGACACCAGTAGCCCTCGCCCCTCCCGCCAAACTCGGGTGGTGTGGGAAACGTTATTACTGTACTTCACACAGAATGCTATGGTGTGTCATACTGGTGCTTCTCAGCATTTGGGGGGAGGGGAATAAAACTCACCTGCCAGGTGCTCAGTCCCTGAAAGAAGAAGAAGAGGGCAAAGCCCCAGACCACCGCGGTGAAGAGGATGCACACCAGAGCCAGGCAATGGATCCGCTCACCGCTACGGAGCTGCAAGCAAACAGCCGCCGGGAACCAAACACCATGTCAGTCACCTGTCCCCCAGAGCCGACACGCTACTCCTGTCATGGCAGAGACGCTGTCTTCCTCTCAGGGAGCACATTTCACAATATGACAGCATGTGTGCTGATATGAAGATTCAAGATTCTTTACTGGTCATGCGCAACACACAAAAGACTAAACAAGAAAATGCAAAACAATATAGACAATGTAAACAAGGCTAGATGGTACCATACTGGTGCAAAAAAAATGCAAAACTGCAAAAACTGGATGATATGTGATCAGAGGCTGATGAATGCAGTAATATCTAAGCTCAGAGTGCAGGTGTCATGGGTACGACTGTCATGGTATATGTGGATGTTGGACATTTGAAAGGCTCCGGGAAGAAGCCGTTCTTGAATCTAGTGGTTCTGATGCTGGACACCTCTTATCAGTCTGCAGAGGGGTCAGCAGTTTGCGGCTGGGGCCCTGAATTATAGACTGAATTTTATTACAAAAGTGGTTAGTGAGACACATCGGAAGGTCTCACCTTCATGATGATATAGAAAGCGAAGTAGAGTAGGAGGTTGCAGATGGCGATTGCCAGCAGGTATGAGGCAAAGTCATTGGGACGTTCGATCAGTCCATAAGCCGCCCTGCATGGGATATCAGATTGTTTATTTTATTCTGTTCCTCATAAACATACAAATGCCTTCATTGTCCAGTACATCTGACAGTCTTACAATATCAAAACTCATCAAGTTTATTGCTCAGCTGTTCCTCCTTCTAGCTGTCCGAAGCTCTGCAAAACGCAACTTTGTTTCATTTGTGTGAAATGGCAATAAAAGTGTCTTGACTTGAATACTCACAGAGACCAATTAACAATGTTGCCCATCACCAACAGTACCATTCGATCCTAGCGGAGAGATGGAGGGAAAAGACAAGAATGAGTAATGAGCCCAGTTACACTCAGGAGTGTTACGCAAGATCAGAGCATCTGTTAAGGAGAGGGACTCACGATGTACATGGGGCCGCTACACTGCCGGATGCAATCGGTGTAGACCACATAGAGCATACGCCTCAGGATGCCAGAGTCTGAAACACATGGCAGTTTTATAGGTCAACATTAATGCCCAGTGCAATCATGCATACACTAATGCGCAACTTCCCAGTGCAATCACGCATACACCAGCTGCGCAACAGCCCAGTGCAATCACGCATACACCAACTGCTTTAAAAAAAGCCTCTGAAGTAATGCACGGGTAAATTCGGTAACCATGGTTTATATAAGAACATAAGAAATTTACAAACGAGAGGAGGCCATTCAGCCCATCAAGCTCGTTTGGGGAGAACTTAACTAATAGCTCAGAGTTGTTAAAATCTTATCTAGCTCTGATTTAAAGGAACCCAGGGTTTTAGCTTCCGCTACACTACACTAGCAGGAAGACTATTCCATACTCTAACTACATGCTGTGTAAAGAAGTGTTTCCTCAAATTCGTTTTAAAATGTTCTCCCGCTAATTTCCATTTATGGCCACGAGTTCTAGTATTTAAACTAATATTGAAATAGCTGAACAGCACCCAGACCCATTAGAATCTTATAGACCTGGATCATGTCCTCCCTCAGTCTCCTTTGCTCAAGGCTAAACAGATTCAGCTCAGCTAACCTCTCCTCATAAGACATTCCTCTAAGACCAGGAATCATTCTCGTAGCTCTTCGTTGCACCTTTTCTAAGGCAGCAATGTCCTTCTTAAGGTATGGTGACCAAACCTGCACACAGTATTCTAGGTGGGGTCTTACCAAGGAATGATCACCAACAGTCTAACATCACCTCCCTTGACTTAAACTCCACACACCTAGAGATATAACCACATTCTATTGGCCTTTTTTATTGCTTCCCCACACTGGCGAGAGTGGGACATGGAAGCATCAACATACACACCGAGATCTTTCTCGTCATCAGCTACCTTTATTTCAGTGGAACCCATAAAATATCTGTACTTTATATTTCTGCTCCCTGCATGTATTACATTACATTTATCTATGTTAAATTTCATCTGCCAAGTATCAGCCCAGTCGCTAATCAAATCCAGATCCCGTTGTAGCCTCTCTGCTGCTAGATCAGTATCTGCTACACCACCCAAAAGGTCAGCCACACACAGTCACATGGCAGGGAGCTCTCGTGTTCATACCCAGTCTCCAGCGGCCCATGTAGTAAAGCTGGGTGCTGAGCAGGAGTGTGGCTATGATGTGGATGACAGAGAAGACAATCCAAAACACCATGTTCCCCTTTCCAAACACCTGGAGGAGAGGAGAGATGCTGCAGGTCCTCAGCGAGAAAGTGCGCATGCGTCGAGTCGATCAGCCTGTTTCTCTTGGTCTCTATAGCAATCCATCTGCCTATGGCTTGGAGTCTCACATTATCAATGTGCTATGGCAGTGGTTCTCAATGTATGGTACATGTACCACTGATGCCACATGAGCACCCTCCAGTGGTACAAAGAGGCATTTCCTTTTGCTAAACTTCAGTCATAATGGCACCAGAAGAGCCTAATATTTTCTGAAGTGATACGTGGCGTAAATAGTTTGAGAACTACTGTGCTACGCAACAAATTAGGTCTAAACATTAATAACAACTGCCGATACGACTCCTCTTCTGATATCAACACAAGAGACCGAGAGACTCAGACCGAGAGACTCAGACTGAACGTAGATGACGACAGGCGCTCTGTGCTGCTGCCGTGTCCGTCGTAGGAAGGAGAGCCTCACCACCCCCAGCACGGAGAAGAAGATGACGGCGGCCAGGCAGGCGTAGGCGGTGTAGGCGCTGGCGTTAATGTCGGGGTGCCGCTTCTGGTAGAGCTTCAGCATGCAGAGCCCCGCGATCATGTACATGAAGGAGGTGTCTGTGGGGGAAGCGGAAAAGGGGAGCAAACACAGGCTCTGTAATGCACATGTCCCATGCAGGCTACCGTACATCCTTACACATGCTCTGGCACATTCTGAGGCACGGCTGATCAACTGAGTCTCAGTTTTTGGTCTTGTCCAGGGATATTCAAATCACAGTCCTGAAGGTCCGAGCACTGCTGGTTTTCCACCTTTCTTTGACCCGTGTGGTAATTATTAAACCAAGTACCTGGCAGAACTGAAAACAAGGCCTGGATTTGAAATTAAGAGCCAAATTTGAAGAGCTCTAGTCTAGTCTGTGTGATTGGGTCCTACACAGACTCAGTCAAGTGCACAGATTACTAAGTGGTTTAATGTGTATGTGACCAAAACAGACTTGTTCTGTGAAATGGGGAACAGTGTGTATGCTTATATATTTATGCATATATAGATAACTGTTTATATATTTACAGAATGCTGAACTGAAAGGACATCAAGGCAGTGTTTGACACCATGTGACCCCTTTCTATACATGCTGAGTGCAGGATCAAGACAGACAGGTTTCCATAAACTACAGAATTCATTCCCAGGCTCAGGCAGCGGCACCCTCACCGAACTGAAAGTTGGTGTAGTTTGGGCAGACGTGGTAGCAGGCACTCAGCAGGCCCTCCATCATGAGCGCCGTGCCCATAGCATAGAAGAGGCCAAAGTGTTTGGGGATGCCGCACTCCTGTAGCAGGGAACAAGAGAAGAGTCAGCAATCCCTCACTTTCAGTCTAACCACTAATCGCTCAGTCTGCCCCTAGAGGACAGAGGATGCATTACATAGCCCATGAGAGTAATTACTGATACAACTCCAGGATGTCATCAAGGATCACTCATTCATAAATAAACGTTAACTTTTTTATATATAGTTCTTCTAACATGATTGGCCAAAAACATGCAACACGCTTTTCTACAACTGCGAAAAGATACTAAAGTATATTAAAATACTACCAATATCAATTGTGAACAATCAGCTGTTTCTCACTGAAAATTCATTAGCAAAATGAATTTTTGGGGGCGGTTTGAAGGTCACCAGGGTCAAATCGGCAGAGTGATGTCACCCTTGGGCCCCTGAGCAAGGATCTTAACCCCCGATCGCCCCCGGCCGTCTGACCCTGCTTTCTCAGATATGCATGTCGCTAAATATGTTAGCTTTCGCCGAACGAATAAAAACGTAAAAGGGAAGCGGCTAAGCTTTGGGCTGGGCCTGCGGAGCCGGCACGGCCCCGGCCGCCAATCCTCACCAGCGCCGCCACCTCATGCCGCAGCAGCGCCCGGTTGTGCATGATGTCCCTGTGCAGCACGATGAGCAGGAAGAGCAGGCCCAGCATGATGTAGCCCAGGTTGCTCAGGATGTTGTTGAAGGCACTGTGTCGGGGAGCGGCCGCGTTAGCAGCTGACAGGCTAAAGCTATGCTACACTTACCTAAAAACAGCACAATACGCGTGTTTCTTATACACATACAAATACATGTATACATAATATATAAACACATGTATACACACACATTAATTATGTAATACTCGCACACACAAAACTGGGCCTTTAAACGGAAGTAAATATAACAGAACAACCCCCCTCCACTGACTAGTTATGTAGCCAAAATACACATATAAATAGCTGGTTGCTTACAAACACTCTTAAAAATAGCAGATAAGGATGGTGTTAGCGGTTAAATGGGAGAGCATGGGGGAGATGCAGGTCTTTTTTTTGTGAGACTGCCTGCAGTTTACATTGTTCACAGTGACGCACGCAGTGAGACGCACGCAGTGAGACGCACGCAGTGAGACGCACGCAGTGAGACACACGCAGTGAGACACACGCAGTGAGACACACGCAGTGAGACACACGCAGTGAGACACACGCAGTGAGACACACAGACCTGACCTCAAAGCTCCCAGGGGATGTGCACAGAGGAAGTTGTAGTAGCAGATGTCTTGGTTTCCGGTCACATTCACCACCTGTCGATCACAAACACAAAGGAACAGCGATCAGTGCATAGTTTAGCATCCATGTGCAACACACTGGATCTACATTAAGCTAAATACAGTTTAGCAGTCAGCCACTGCAAGCCCTGACCACGTCACTCATGTGTAAAGCACTGTGGGAGGTGGGGGGGGAGAGGTGAGGGATACCGTCTGATATGTGATGACCAGCTGGATCACAGGAAGAGCGTAGAAGACTGCAATCGTGGCGATGTTCCTGGTGACAAGAACCGGCATGTAAATGAAGTTCATGCTTCTAGGGCTTCAAATATGCTAACAGTGTTCCCAGATAAGCAAGTACACTGACCACCATTAATATTATTGTCATTATTATTAATATAATAATAATTATTAATACAATTCACATTACGCAGATTTTAACATCAGGGTTCATAACACTGACACGGTTCTATAACTCTCACTCAAAACTGGAACTTGTATGCAGTCAGAATTCCAGGTTTCTTACCAGAAGTAGATCTGGTACTTTTTATTCAGAACCCTCTTGTCCTTACGAGCCAGATCGGACACACACAGAAACTTCTGGAAAAGTGAGGAGACAGAACGCATTTGCTGTGGTTCTCAACCCAACACACTTGACTGCATTGATGAGTTTCACCCTTTCATGCCTGGATGTTTGGTGACCAATGCAGAGGCAAGGCGATCAATCTCATTAGTGTGTGTGTTAACTATTTAGTTATGCTAATTCTAGTTATTATAACTGCACCTTAATTAATGTTTTAATATGTTCCTATTGGAACCTCAACCATCAACAGGACCACAATGTTGATATTTTAATTAGCCTGCCTTGGTGGTCATTTCTTTAGGATACTACTTTCATTTTACACATTTAGAAAAACTTACAGGCCATTAAGAACACTAGTGACGTCTTTCATTGGCCCATTCTCACAGTTAGACGGGCACTGGCCTTCTCCGTCTTCAGGAATATATATTACAGCAGTGTTTCCCAATTCGGGTCTCGGGAACCAGCTGACAGTTCACCTTTTCGCTCCCCTACCCGGAGCTGGGAGGGAGCAAAATCACGGACTGCCTGCAAGTCCCCGAGGACCAGATTGGGAAACACCGTATTACAATGTCACCGTTTCTGCAAACACAGAAGGGGGAGGGGCAAGGACCTTGGTGCGGACGATGTTTTTGTCGGAGTCGATGTCGGCTAGAATGTCGTAATCATCCTCCTCCACAGAACTGAGCGACTCCTGCCTGCAGCGGCCCACACTGTCCAGGGAACGCTCTGGCAAAGAGGAAGATCACCAGTGAGACCGGAATATCCGTCTGGACGGAGGGCATGAAGCCCGGTTGCCGATTTCTACATTTGAGAGTGATTCTCAGATGAGGGAGGGTAAATTTAAACAGGCATATTTTTTTTCTTAACTCGTGCAGTGAAAAAATATTCCACATCGTCAAGACTTTTTCCGGAATTACACCCCCGTTCACAGGTGCTGGTGTATGACTCTGCATGCCTGATTCACGGCAACTGAAGCCTCAAAATAGGTCAACTTGACAAGCTGGATTTGGAAGATAATTTGATTAACATTTCTGAGCTCCTTCTGATAAGTTGGGACAAAAATACTCCTCAAAAGTCTTTTACTCTAGAAAACACCAGGCTAAATTAAAGTCTGAAAACTGGTTGAGAACAGTTCATTAATAAGGGATCCAATTGCTGAATGAACAGATCAAGACTAGTTTCATAGACCTATAACACTGCTTTTACAGATTAGTTTATGTTCATTTTTTTCCAATCAGCCACAACTAGTTTGTTTAGTTGGAATAAAACACAGCATAGAGTCTTACACCAGTACCAGGGCTGAGAACCGCTGAAATACACACCGTCATTCATTACCATTACTTTTCATTTCTGATTCGTACATCAGGCAATCGAAGGCACAGTGCTGATTCGCAGGAGTGAGGGAAAAAATGCGATCAACAGTTAATATCACCAATGCGGACGGCTAAGTGGAAGAGCGTGGTGAGTGATCTGCGCTTGAAGGGCTCGCGTCCTGACAAATGACAGAAACGAACCAATCAGCTGCAGGTGCTTTAGCTAAGCGCCGTTATGGCAATCGGCTTCCCACACACAACTTACATTTGTGCTTTAATAAAACCAGTTTAAGTGTTATTTTCGGGTTATGATGGTCCATGTTATGATATTTCGACTTTACAATGAGCATGATTATTCAGTTCAATAAATTACATGAGATATTCAACAATTTATTATAAATAGGCTCCGTGTTAATTATTTTGTCCAACTGTAGGCTAATGTAAGTGTTCTAAGCATGTTTAAGCTAGGCTAGGCTAGGCTATGATGTCTGTTACGTTAGGTGTATTGTATTAAAATGCATTTTCGCCTTACGATAGGTTTATCAGAAAGTAACCCCATCGTAACCCAGGGAGCGTCTGTATTCTGTTGTAGACTGTAGATATTTGCAGTAAAACTTCTTTCCAAGGCATCATTAACAAATCGCTTGGTATATGAACCTGCATCCTTAGCATTTAAGACTTAAGGTTTCTTAACCGATGTCCCTCAGTGCCTGGACACAAGTGTGTTGCAGTTCCATACCCATGTATCCATAGTTGACGTCGGTCGACCCTACGCTGTCTGTAATGGGCTCCGAACTTAGTAGGCTGCTGTTGTCTGCTTGTGGGAGACAGGAGGACAGACAGAGTGTCACTGTAGTTCAAACAGGGGCCACATGACCTTTAGCTTTCAGTTTTCAATGAGGGGGCAAAAAAGTTATCACATAAAAGCACAGGTAGGACGAATGGTGTGGTCCCAATGCTATGGCATATACTCAACATAGAGGTGTGTGCACCCGTAACTCACCAATAGATCCATACTCATAGGGGGATCCGGGGGTCAGACCCTTACCTGCAGAGAAACAAGGCTTAGAGCCACAGACAGACAATACATGCCCATAATTCAGTGGTTCTCAAACTATGGCACACATACCAGCTCCCTCTGGTGGTATATGGAGGTATCTCTGTATTTTAAAGTGAGTCATAATGGTGGCATGCAGTGAGCCTAATATTTCCTGGATGTGGAATGCTGTGCAAAAAGTTTGAGAACCACTGGCATAATTAATAGGTTAGTCAATGACACTGTTAATAACGGAAAGACGCTAGCTTGTTAGGAGTCCTCCAACAAGTTAGGGGGCAGTAGAATAAGAAGTAACCCCTGGTAACGCCTGTTGGCGAACATCCAATCATGTTCTCATCACTTCTATATTTGATGGAGGCTTACAGGCAAATCTTGCCATCATGAATCAGAACGTAGTAAGCAGTACTAATTTTGCCATTAGGGAAATTCATTTAAACAGTGGCAACAATAATGATACATTTTAAGCTTTGATTCAAGGCAAACTTCTATGTGAACTCTGTCCTGACAACGCCAATCAGACAGATTCATCTCCATTCGGCACTGAAATGCACGGCGCTATACAAATACACCTTAAGCCAAAATTCTTGCCTATTATTTGTCTCAAACAATAAAAACATAAATAAAAATCATGACGCTGTCATATTAGAACATTTTAACATCACTGGATGTTCAGTTGCTTATCAGATACAGAGAAATGACAGAGCACCAGGATCCACCAATCAGCTTCTTGGTGTCTGTTAAGGTATTAGTATTAGATTTTGGGTGACTTCAACGTATGTTTCAGAGATTGGCACGTTCACACAGAAATACACACGTGGGCAAGACTATAGTGTATTAGTGCACATGTGTAAGCAGTACTGCACATGCAGAGAACAGAAAATGGCGACGGGAGAAATGCACACATTTTCTTACACTCAGTTCTTACCGAGCAGAGAAGCTAAGGCACAATGTTACAACAAGCAGGGAGGAAAAAAAAAACACATTACATTTGAAATAATACGTTTCATTGATTGTTATATAGTCACTCAAGCACAGAGTGGAGAGAATCTAGCAGGCTATATACACTGAATTCTTTTTTCTGGTCTGTAGAACATCCGGCACACTATCACAATGTTGCTAGGATACCTGTCTCCGCTGGTGACGCTGCCGGGGTGCTCAGCAGGCCCTCCCTCCGTTTGTGCATCCTGGGGGAGGAGACATGGCAAAGGCTAAGGAGGAGGACATCGCGTTGAAGTGGGCCGGGGGGGGGCAACACGTGCCGACGGCCGCTGACCTCTTGTTTTCCACACAGGCCACCAGGAAGGTGATGATGTAGAAGGATAGGAAGATGCCCAGGCAGAAGAGCATGCCCATCACGTAGACCTCCGCTGCAAAAAAGAAGGAACGGGGGTGAGGGAAGAGTGTCAGACCGCTGGACGTCAAGATGAGAAGCGTCACCGTACACTGATGTCATCTCCCTGCTTACATTTGATTGCGGGGGAGACGACGACATCCAAGGTTTTACTCCGATTTCCAGCATCAATCAGCTCATCTGGAGAGAGGGGAGAGTTAAATCAAAAAAATCCATTAGAGCAGGTTTAGGCAATCTTCTCCTCAAAAGGCCAGGGAGGGAGTTGGGAGGGAGCAAAAACGTGGACAAGCTGAACACCCCCGAGGGCCGGGTTGGGAAACATTGAAGCCGTCTAATGCGGAGTCTGTCCCCTTTGACCTCTTATTGTACTACACTAGTATTGCTGATATCTTACACTTTATTGGTATCTTGTGACAAACAGAGACAGGATGAAGACCGTACTCACCGGGCCGCAGGGGATAGAAACGCAAAGGGCCCCCGCAGGCTTCGTCCTCAGTCTTCACCACGATGACCACGTAGAAGCTGTTGCTGGGGAAGTCCTTCCTCTACAGACAGAGGGAGAACGTGTCAGAGGAAGGAGGTTCCCTCACGCCATCAAGCTGGTATATCGGGACGGCAGACCCGACGCTGCCACTGACACGGGCTCATTACCTGAACCGTAATGGCGGCCGTCTTCGTCATGGTCTGGTACATCCCGATAAAAGCCACGTTGTTGTCCAAATCATACACTGGACACTGTGAGACAGACGGGTCACAGAGGTATTCATCCCTATTCAAAACAATACTCCACCTTTCACTACTGTCCTTCTGGGCTAAAATTAATGTATGCGTGGCAAAATGCACCCTCTTGTGGCAAGTCAGCACTCCTGCAGCCTTCCTTTAGTAAACAGCCAGGCATTTTGCAATAGGCACAGAAATCTGCCAACACTAAAATGTAGGATTAGCTGCACCTCTAGAATCACACCTTTAAGCTTCTGACACAACACAAACAGATCAGCGAAGAGACCTTTAGTAACCAAAATATTTTTCACACAGATGGCATGTGTGGAGGTGGAGGTCTGATAAAACAGACCGAACGCATTTCTTACCAAGATGTCCTGGATTGACATCACGGAGCAGGGGAAAGTCATCTGGGAATTGACCTTGACTATGACAGAGTCCACTCCATCGGGGAACGCGTACTTAAAGTACTGGACAAAAGACAAGACAACCAGTGAAGAGAGGTGGCTTTAGCATGCAAAGGATCAAGCGTTTTAATTTATTCGGCTCATTGTCTCACACATACACGCAAGTTCTGTCAGTACTGGGACGAAACAGGACGCCTCACAGCTAGTGCTATATTCAGATTACTGCCTTGCCAGATACACAATGGCACGCTAAATGCCAGCTGGTGATTCTTCTACAAACACAAGCAGTTAATCCCAAAGCCCATATTTGCCAGTATTTTCTCTACATCTCAGAAACAAACACATATAGGGCCCAGAGAAACATACTGTCACTCATTTGATAAGCTTATGTTCAGCTTTATCGCTCAGATCACCCCTGCCGGACTTCGACTTCACACCTGGTGACATGGAAGCCCAGAAGAATCCAGGCATACCCCGTATCTCCTGGCCATAAACTTGGGCAGAGGTTTCGGTCACGCCTTACTAAATATCAGAACTGAGGTATTAAACTGCCGATTTCATAACAAGGAAATGTGAAATCGTGCAAACCCTGTTGGTGATTTGGTATTGAGACGATCCAACTGGTTGGCAATGACGTCTGCATGTATATGTGCAATGCTGTGTTTGACCACACGGGGCACTGGACTGCTGAAGTGTAGCGGCCTCTCAGGGGTTTTACCTGAGGCTGGGATGGAGTAGCAACAAAACTGAACTTCGTGTCCGTCCTAGAGGAAAAAAAGTTCATTAATCCCCCTCTGGTCTAATTCACTGTCTTGCTTTGCCATCACCTTCATTCTCGTATTCCTTCCATCCATCCATCCATCCATCCATCCATCCAGTAAAGGCCCACAGAGCACCTGAGTGTCTCTTGGAAAGGACACACAAGGGACCCTCCACAGCAGATGCCAAGCTATCTCGGAACACACACATCATCTCAAAGTACAGAATTAATAAAATAAATGACACTAAAATTAATTATTAATATGAATATGAATAATTAACATTTTCTTTAGCGGTCACATTTCAGTATTTGTGCTTTTCTGAATGGGGCAACAGGAAAAAACATTGTAACGTTCTTTAGGAAATGTTCAAGGTACTGCCCTTATACCCTTATGTAACGTGGTGGGGGGGGTGGGGTGCATCAGCAGCAGGTGTGGGTCGCGACTCACTGCAGCGTGAAGCTCTCCACACGGCTGACCCGCAGCTGGTAGTTCACGCCTCGGCTTGACAGCGTGGACACGTCAACGAAGAAGAACTGGATCTCGCTGGCAGCACGCGTGGGGGGCTGGCACAGGGTCCGACCCACGTGGGTGTAGGAGTACTTCCGCTGGTATCTGGGTGTCAGACAGGGTGGGGCACGAAATCAGAGGCGCAAGACGCCGGAGGGGACACAATACAGATAGTTTCGAAGCAACCTTTAGAACACAGTTACGCCAAGGAGCATCGTTGTTTAGACAGCAGGGGGCAGGAGTGAGACCTTTATACGAATGGCATGTCTAGCTGTTGATATGGCGCTCAAGTGCAGGACATGTGACAGATTCAAAACACACAAATGTAGGCTCATTTGCCTTAAGGGTTCATAGTCTCACATGAGCAACCACGAGCAAACACATAAAAACAGTGGCAGTAAATTTCCAAGCAAACAGAACTTCAGGTCTTACACCCATAAACACATTTGCATGTCTAATAATATCACCACATGTGAGTTTCCCATTTGAGGAAGTCCAAAAGTTCTCCATGTGGCATGAGTGGTCACCGAACGCGTAAAGTACTCTCCAGAGTTGAGCAAGTTGGGGTGGAATTCTGACCTGCGCTTTAGTAATCAGAGCCAAGAGCTTGACTGGAGGCCAAGACCATTACAGATTATTTAAGGCATGACAGAATGTTGCGGCTGATTGCCCAGGGGGAATTTTTTGTTGTCTAACTGTATTACAAAAAACTCCAAACACAAAAAAAAATAAACAAAGAGATAATAAAGTGTTTCAAAAATGCAGGCGGCAAAATTTTCTTAACATAATCTTAAATATGAAAGGTGAAAAATTTATTGCAGGTACAATGATGTAGTTATGAATTATTAACTCATCACTTACACCCGCATACGCCCTGCCCTGGAGATTCAATCCATTTTATTTTTTATAAAGCGCCTTTCGAAACAGAGCCACCCCAAGGCCCTTGATGGGACTGTGTCAATCCATTATTACACCAGTTAAACAAAATGGTGAACAAAACTGGGGAAAAGAGAAGAGGAACAAAAGAAAGATAAGAATGAAACCCCAGTTCAAACCCCTTCCCTTCCATGCCTCTTTATATTTAGGGTTATATGTAGTTTTTGCTCAGAGTGTGTAACTCTATGTTTCCTCTAGGTGTGAAGAAATGAAGGGTGTCTCCAGCTATAGGCTAATTACCTGTGCTGCGGAGGAAGTGATCAGTTTTCTTGGGGGGGGGGGGCCCAAATAAAGCCTTGCCAAGAGCCACCAAAAAGATAAAGCCAGCCCTGGGAGAAATCCCCCCCCACCACTATCCTACAGGAAGTCATGGTACATTCAGGGATCCCACTAGAAGAGATTCATTCTTTTTCACATTTTCTCACATTAACATGGACACTACAATGTCCATCTATCGCAGGCAGGAATTCCACCTGCTGGGCTTGACAACACCAGTACCAAGCTGCAAGTCCTGTGTGGTATTTCTGCTACAAAAAAAAATCAATGAAATCAATCCCTCAAGTCGATCGTAACAATGGAGATAAATGAGATCACAGAGTCTACTGAGACTCCTCAAAAGGTGATGTCACCAGCAGAGTCAGCCAGAGTGCTTCCCCTATCTTTGTACTTGGGCCTCTACATCTGCAGACTGATCCCTTAGCCTGGGATGTCGTTTGGACCCACGGTGACGCAAACTCCACCCATCTCACAGACCACGCCAAACAGATATCTGTACTCACAGGCCACGTAGAACGAGAGGGACCTGGAAGGAGACCACTGCTTGCTTCTGCCTGACCACGAAGAGGATGGGGCTGTCCACCTGCTCCGACTGCACTGACACCCGCACCCCCTCTGTCTGATGGGAAATACGACACACATTTCAATCCATATTCACCTATCAGACACAAAAACTGGATACGTCAGTAAAACAACTGAAAAGGTTTTCATATCAATGTCTACAATAACATTGTGAGTGCAATGACCACCAGGAACTCCACAAGAAGTAACAAACCCCACAATGAACAGATACACTTCAGATGGATAATGTAAACAAGATCGCCACCATTATACCCGAATGTATAAAAGCATTTGTAATTGTTTCCTGTCTATGACATCATTTTTAGTAAACATGTATGCGTGAGTGTAACAACAAAGCATAAACACTTGAAATCGTTACCTTGTTGCGAGACACAGTGTGATTAAAGGCGTAGATCGTCTGGATGTCGCTGGTCACCGTGTAGGTAACGTCGAACTCTGCATCTCTCTGGTACACCGTCTTGGTTTCGCCGACAACAGCGGAGGCCCCATAAGGTGCCACACACAGGCACAGAACCACGAGTCCAGCTCCGCAACCCGGCCAAACCGGGCCAGGCTTCCGCCGTGTCCGCATCCTCCCCGTCGGCTGATCGATCTGTTTACTGTGGCTGTGCTTACTTGTTACGCTTTGCGACGCGAATATCTCCCGAGACCTCTATATGCTTGACGTCTTGCAAAAAAAAGACATAAAAATCAGAACTGAAAGCCCAGTTTTGCAAAAGAAATGATCACAATATAAACGTCGGTATACTGGTTCAGCCAGAAGGCTAGCTGGTAGCAGCTGTTTGTCCCTACAGCCTAGCTAAGGAGTCCCAAAAGCAGCCACGAAACACAAAGATGGGCATGACTGGCACTTTGTTACCTCCTAGGACCTCGGACCCACCTTCCGCATCGGATACAGCGCATGATACCCCCACCGAGTCTCCCTGCGGCGCGATCGGCGGCTCCTCGGCCGCGTATCTACTCTCCCTCCGCGGCAACGAGCGGCGCCACGATCGGGAGGAGAACCGTGCGCCTCCCTCCTGTCATCCTCCCGAAATGTCTCTGCACTTGTCAATTTCCCGGTGCACGGCTCTCCCGACTGACCCGAGTCGCTGCTTTCTTTAACACATAATATCCTAGTTAGCAATAGCGGCGCGTATAAACACTGACACTGTCTGTCAAGAGGCACCGTAAAATCATGGGGCCGGATCTGGGTCCAGTCTCCTCCAGTGAAGATCTAAGCTTTGTTCTTTTAGCCTATAACACAGACAGAGAGTACCGTCCCAAGACCAAAACCGTAATCGGTACCGTCTACATTCCTGCGGGCTCGAGCACGCGCACCTGGCTTATTCCGTCGGATTGAATTGCACAGTTTGGGTTAAATCCGTGTAGCTCAGCAGCGCCCTCTGTCGCCCAGAAGAGCGCTGTAAACAAATCCAGCGGCGCGGTGACGTCATCCCCACCGGACCGGTGATGAGGGACGTAGTAAAGCTCTTACCGAGGGATGGTTTTTGTCGTGAGAAAATATGTTTGTTTGTCGACACTTAAACTGTTCGATGTAAGGATGTTACAAGAAAACTACAGATTTAATGAAAACAAGTTAAACCAAATCGTCTTTTATTTTCCATAGCTTACGCTACGTTGTACTGAAATCCGTCCTCATCGGCATGACCAAGAGGAGCACAGGTCCTTGCCTTTCTTTCTTCTCATTCTGTGCAGGTTCGTGGGAAGGACTGAAGGACAAGGCGCAAGGCTGGTGACATCCGGCATGGGGTGCGAGTCCATCGCAGAGCACAACCATAAATACATGCAAACAAAGGGCGATTCAGAGAGACCAATTTATTTAACTGTATGTCTTAACTCTGTATGAGGAATCCACATGATTAAGAAAAACATATAAATTCCACACAAACAGAATAAGGATGAACATTGTTCCAGTGATAAGAAGGTCACCAGTTCAAATTCTGTAGCTGGCAAAGTGATGTCACCACTGGGCCCTTGAGCGGGACCCTTAACCACAATTGCTCCAGGGACACTGGCTGACCCAGCTCTCTGATTCTGACTTGTCACCTTGGACAAAATCATCTGATAAATACATGCGATGTACTTTGTGTTCTGCCACAGTGCAGAGATGTGCATTTAGTATAACTGGTATCTGTATATTGCAATTGGGTGCATGTTGTTGTATGTGACCTGCAATGGACTTACGTTCTATCCAGAATGTCCCCCTTCTTTGTGCCCTAAGTTGCCCTGAGATCCAGACCTTAATAAGTGGTCGGAAGATAGATGGAATTTAGATGATTAGACCACAGCCTCTCTTAGGAGTTGAAGTAGGAACCATGATGTTAGGAGGTCACATCCTTCACCATTGCACTAACAATTAATCCATCCAGCCTGTGTGGTTCACACTTCTGGTAGCACCATAATCTTTGTAAAATATCTTGCAGTGTTTTCCATTGTAATCAACCTGGGATATTTTGAATGCTTTGCAGCAAACACACAGGGAAATACACATTTTGCTCTGTAAATTGTGGCCTGCCTTGTAAGGATTCACATAATTGCTGGTTCAATTGTAGTTCATCAGTGGTTTCCATCTGTGCATGCTATTCCTAACCAGGATCTTTCAATGGTTTAGCTATTTTTTATATTTAAGCTATAAAGCACAGTTGTATTATTTTTGTATGGTCCCATTGTGAATGATGTGGATATACATTCTGTAAGATTTACCATCTCATTTGCATATGAGCCCTGGACTCCAAATACTGAACTTAAGTTAGACAAAGGGCTGATTGTTGTTACTGATCATTGGTCCATTTTTTTCATTTAATCCCACGGCTTGTTCCTTATTCTGCTGCCTCCATGAATCCTTCTGCCTCCATGAAAGTGCCTTTCTTGCATATGCCACCGTCCTGAAACAGGGACATACTCCTGTTATGGTATTTTCAGCACGTTCTTCAGCCGAATACCTATCCCTCTCCGTCTTGGTCCATCTACAGTAGCTGGTAATTGAGACCAAAAGGCTGTATGAGTAAATCCAGAGATTAACCCTGAAGTTTACCGACTTGAATAAAACACTTACATCAATAAAATGATCTAATTACACAGTAAATATATTGACGGTAAATTACAAATTAAAGTACCAAATAAGCAACTAAATAAGATTAAATCTGCAGAAAGTCAGCTTATGTAAAAGCACCATGCAGTGGACTGTGAGGGGCTCAGTGGGCTATGTCTCTGTGATTGCCCATTCAAGTCTCAGCAAACCAGTCACATGTCCATTGGCCCTTAAACAAAGCCCTTAACCTCCAGTGGGGCTGACATTGGCTGACCCTGCATTGTGACACCCCCCCCCCCCCCAAGCTATGGAGAGCAAGATGGAGGTAGACAAAGATGCAAATTCCAATGTACTTGTGCAAATGGCCAACAAATGATTTATCAGATCATCGACTTTGGTGTTGCAGTCATGTTACTTCAAATGCCATCATGGCAGAATGTGGAGAGAAATTGCTGAGCTAAAATGCAAACCAGATACAGTCCTACCGATAGGTGACTCTCTGGTGAGGGCTGAAGACACCACAGTGAATCACTATTGTCAAGAATTCACCCAGGAGTGTCCTTCTAATGTTACTACCCTGAATCAAAATCAAAATCTAATCAATATTGTACCTGAATAACATGTGTCTGATACTCTAGGTGAGCACAGCAGTTATTTTCTATCCATACATACATCTTTCATAACTGCTTAACCAGTAAAAGGTCACATTTAAGCCACATTATTTTAAAAAATACTCTAGTGCTTAATATACTTTCATGTTTCATATTCAGTGTGATTTTGAGCCATCCAGATCCCCATTTTGGTGAAAATATATTCATATTTTACTTCCACAGATAGATCTTTCAAGTTAAAATTCTTGCAGCATGACTAGATTTAAGCCACAGATGTGGTTCTGCAAAACATTCAAGTGAAGTTTTGCTAGAAACACAGAAAAAAATGTTTCTTTGAACAGAAACATGTACACTCTTATAGTATCAACCAAAAGTATGGACTCAGCTATTAAAAATCATTTGTTTTTCAACAAGATCATGACCCTAAGCTCACCTCAAGGTTATGCAAGTACTTTATTATTATATGAACAAGCAAAGAGATGGAGTGCTGTGACAGATGACCTGGCCCCCACAATCCCCTAACCTAAACCATTCAGAGCTGGTTTGGGATGAGCTGGATCACAGAGTAACAGCGAGGTAGCCGATTTGTGCTCAGAACTTGTGGAAACTCCTTCAGGACGGTCGGAGAAGCATTCCAGGAAGCTGGTTGAAAGAATGCCAACACTCTGCTGCCATCAAAGCAAAAAAGCAAAAGAGGGCTATTTAGAAGAATATAAAATTTGAGAAAATCTTGAGATGTTGAACACTACTCTTGGTCATTGCAATATTTGATATGTGTTTCCTCATTGCATCGAGACCTTTTACTATAAGGTAAATAGCAGCTAAAATAGAGACAATGCATTAATGGACGGTAGGTCGACACTTTCGACTGGTACTCTACATTTGTGCCACATGCATTAAAATGAGATGAATCCAGAATATTTGCACAACGGTAGTGCAGTTGCACTGTGATAAGGACGATTCCTTACAAGTGACACTAATATCCATGGTCATTTATTGGAATGCTTTGATCTGCACATGAGGAAAAGCCCAGCTGGCGTACCGACTGTGTACTGAACAGACAGATACACGTCCTCTCACATTCTCTCGCAGACACACACTGTACAGGTCTATCTCCTCAAGCCTCAGAATACACAACAGGTTTTTTTCTACAACACGGGGCATAGCTGGGGGCCTAGACGTCCATTTATTTATTATATATAGATATATATATATATTTTACTGTATATACATAATCCGCCACGCGCAGTTTCTAATGCACTGTAACAAATGCACACTTAAACTTGCTGACAATGATGTGCCTGGACGGTCCTACGGAAACTGGAATGTCGCTGGTCAGACGCACGTGGACACAAGCATGCACAAGCGGACGGGCTAACGCGCGATTGGCCGCAGACAGAGGGGAAGCGGACGGGCTAACGCGTGATTGGCTGCAGACGGACGGGAAGCGGTGCACTGCCTGCTGGGATACTACGCCAGGCGTTCAAGAGATAAGCGGCACTGAAACGTGGAGTGGGGGGGGGG